GAGTTCATGAACTTTCGTTCAATGAACGCGTTCAGGCACAACACTGGTCACTGGATCATAACAATCTATTTCTTCTTTAGACCGAAGGGATAAAACATCCCTATGATCATATTAGTTGCATATTTTTGAAATGCTTGGTGCGTTTTATGCCCATTTCCCCATCCTGGTTACATGTTTCTGTGAAAAACAGTGTTTAATGTAACATTATAGTCTAAAGCACCTTTACTTATGTTTTCTAATATGCAGCTGACTTGATTAAAATCATTTTCACCTCCTGTTCCTTTCAGATTAAAACATTCACTGTCATTCACTTTCAGCTCACACTCACATCAGTTGTCAGCTAGTGTTTACTTTGTAGATTGTGCAATGTTTTCTTTTTGATGAACTGTGAACATGTTTGTCTGCACTTGTCAGCTTCCCATGATTACTCCCTTCATGTAGAGTGAAACTGATGCATATGGATACCTGAGAGCAGTCAAGTCCTTAGCATTTAGTGGTAGCAGATACTAATATTGAATCACTTTTAGTTGTTCTCTTTTGTCTCAATGCAACCACAAACTTTACGGTATTTCATTTGGATTTTATGGGTAAAAACAAACCAAATGCATTAATAATTGTGAATTGCATGGGAACTGATTCATGGTTTTGAAGGTTTCTTACATATTAAATCAGAAAAAGCACGTAGCTTCAGTGTTTTGGCCTAAATAAACCATGTTTCAGTCTTTCTCTGTTCTAGGTTATTTGGATAAGTGTCTGATAGTGATAGTCTGAATCCTGTTTTAAATATGTTGGTCTTCTTTGACAACACTGTGGAAAAGTGCAAAATAGGCCTTTTATGGTTTTCTTTCAGCAGGGACTTTCTTTGTGGCAGTCTTCCATAAAGGTCAGATCTGTGAGAGCACAACTAATAGCTGTCCTGTTGACAGACTCTCCCACCTGGCTGTTGAACACTGCAGCTACTGCAGTGACTGAGGTGAACTTGACTCTTTGATAAATGCTCTCCTTACCCCATATTTCAGATTCAGTGGACAGTTATTCCCTCGTGGGTCTGCAGCTGTACCTTGGGTTTTCCATTTTCCGATGATGGATGAACAGAATTTATATTAAAGAACTTCACAGTCAATCAATCACAAAAACATACCGGTTGCAAATTTTATATCAGAATCAGACATACTTTAATAATCCCAGAGAAAACCCCCTTTAAAGGTCCTATATCAAGCCTTCCAAAGTCATCTATGGACATATGTTTGATGAAATATTGCCTGTAGCACTACAGAGTATTATTTTATCATAAAATATAAATATTTTTTTGGTGTAATGTTTCCCAACTAGAAGAAACATACTTGTCTTTATTGCAACACCATATTTAGATACATCCATTTCATGCAGTACCGGTGCCAGGAATTTGAGGCCCCATTAAAGACATTAAATCTTTAAAACTACCATAGATATGCACTGCAGAGTATCATTTACAGTTTCAAATCTCAACAAAAGGAAATAATCCAAACAGGATTTTAAAAATACAGTCAGATTCGGTTTCACTATAACTTTAAAAAATAAATAACACCAACCCGAAGGCCATAAAAAACACAGAAACTTCCACTGTGGCAGAGTACATAGTCCTTATAGTGATGTGGGAACTGTACTGTACGACCTGCTCTGGTCGTGACAAGAGGTCGTCCTTCAGTCATGTCTCTTCGAGTGGGATCCAAAAAACGATGTGGGGACTGAGCCAACCCTGATTGTCCTTGTCCTTTAAACTCTGGCTGGCTGACAGTCCGTACAGTAGCAAGTCTCAGGGGTCTGCGATTTCTCCAGATTATAAATATCGGTAAGCAGACACAGCAATTGCTTACGGGCCCACAAGCTCTTAATGGCCCCATCACTGACACCTGGTGGGTCCCCAACGCAGTTGTCGACTAGGACGTCACTTTGCAGATGTAATGGTGCGAAAATTCCTCTTAAACCCACCTGATACTGAAGTGACTGACCGTATTTATACCGCAACACATGGCAGATTTCAACATGATGGTGAGCAGTGTACAGTAAACACAACACCAATAGCAAAGCAGACAGTGGTATTTTTAATTACTATGTTAATAACTGTGTATAGTTCATTAGATGGTTGGTAAAAATACACTCATATAATGTGTTTGAAACCGCAATAAAGATCTTAAAAGAACAATGTATTCGAGTATTTTATTTTTTACACTATGACTTGGAATCATGGGTAACCCGTAGTGTAGATTAAAACCATTACATACAAAGTCTTAGTGACGATCGATACCAAAAAGAGGTACTTAAGCGGATTCCAGAAAAGAAAAAGCAAAGAAGAGCGACTGGAAGAACGTTCTTTCAAAAAACCGAAGAGGGAGAGGTGGACGTTGCTGCTACAGTGAGTCAAGATTGTGATTGTTGGGGGGGTTGATAATCACTTGGGATGTCTGTAACATGTGGTGGTGCGCTGTCACCAATGGTTCCATTCAAGGTGCGCAGTCACTATTTTTCAGTGTGTGA